ACTGCTCCGTATATTGTAAACTCTACAAAGAGGTAATGTCTGATCAAACTCAAATTTTGACCAAATACACTTATTCATGTATCCTTATAATGCTAATAGTGCCTATTCATGAAACAAACCCTTGGATATTTTAGAGAGCTTCCAGAAATCCTCGGTCTCTAGTAGGAAATTCTGTTTTAAGCATCCATCTTACGTTTTGAATGACAGATAAGATGATATTCGTAATCAGCTCGCTGAGCTGCATCGAATCATATATAGTAAACTACTTTTTAAAGCAACACTCATCCACTTTTAACGAAGATTTCGGCCCGAAAACACTAGTGATCCGGACTTTGCAAATGCTACAAAAGGATAACATCCGATCGAGATGAAATATTTACCAGATACTCGTACATATCCATCCTAATTGTGGTAATTGGGCTAACTCGTGAAACGTTCTGTAGACTATTCTGCAGTATTTAAAAAAAAACATGGTTTTAAGTTGGTAACCCCGTTTTATGAATCCATTCAAGGATTCGAACAAAAAAATAAAATGATATTCGGAATCAACATTTTAAACTAAATCAAATGACATAACAGGTGAAATGTTTTTCCACAGAAAAAAATATTCGAAAAAATATTTTCATAAGTCATCCAGACATTTTTCGCCAAAAAAGTTTCTTTTTTTGAAAAATGTTTTTTCATTACAAATAAAATTTTCTAAGTGATACAAAATCATTTCTGAGTTATTAGGAGTGAGTTATTTGAGTAACTCTACTCGATATCGATATTATCATTGTAGAAACCAATACGAAAATGGCTGTATTATTTTCTGCATGATCATTGGTTTATGATTTTTTTTGTTTTGTTTACCCACATCGCACGAATACGATTATTGAAACGATTTTTCAAACGTGAATGAGAGAAGCTGAAATTCTTTTAATCAGTAGATTTTATGGAAATAAAAGGAGAAACTAAGATTGTTCGTCCTTTCGAACAGAGGAGCAAGCGACGACATTTGTCTTTCTATAGCTTGTCTAGCTCTAGTATTTAAATTCTCAGATGGTTGACATTGAAGTGGATTAATCGATCCTAAACAAATATTTTATTTTATTTTTTGTTACTACGCTAAGAGAATTCTTAAGATGTTTTATTGCTTTTGAGCTTTTTCCTGTTTTTCAGATTTTTCTATTTAACATTTGTTAGCATATCACTTTCGCTTATCAGGACGGTGGTAGGGATAAGACAAGCTTTGTTACCATTCTCCTTTTTAAAATCATTATGAGAAATACTTTCTTTATTCAAATTTTGATTTCTTCATAGTAACGAAGGTGTTCGATTTCTTTTGGTATAATGACTGTCCATTATATGATGAACAAGGAAATGATTAATAAATTATTTTTCTATGGAATATATGACTCGAGTCACGTTTGTATTATTGTCGCACAATTAAATCTCGGTAGTTGTCTGATTTATTGCAATGATTGAGAAAATCAATAAATCGGATTTATTCATTTTATTTAAAATTGAAAAAGATTTTATTCCAAAGAGTATGAAAATAGTTAGGTAGAATGGTTGGATTTTAAAATAGAATTGTTTCAAGAATCAATCACACTCATTTTTCAAACGAGTTGATATCTTTTTTCGATCAAATTGCATAAATCTAAATAGAATTCTTGAATATCGAGATAGTTCGTCCAGTTACGTCTCATTAGATACTTCTAACTTGTCTAATTTAACTATTCAATTTATTCGAAAAATTTTCCTTTCATTTGCAGTCAGAGAATAATTCATCATTAATTCGAGCTAATGAACATATAACTTAATACTTAGCAAGATTCAAACCCTTTTTATAATACGCCAATATTTCTTATCCACTTTCTAATTCGAAACAAACCACATAATAGTTCTATACATAAAGATTGCTTTTGTGTTGTCATACATCGATAGATATCAGATAGTGTTGGTTTGTCGTCAATCCAGTAATAGACTTTACTTGTTTTTTCTAGACATTAACTGAACTCTGGTTAAGTACGAATGAAATTGGGGACCAAGCAGCACAACGATTGGGTGATGCGCTAAAAGTCAATCAAGTAAGATACTTTTACAGCTTATTCCACTAGTAAAGATGTTGAGAATCATTTGTTCAAAGATCTTTTCATTGATTTTAAACAATTGTTAAGAAGACTTTGTTACTTGTTTAAGTATATTCTAAACAAAGTAAAACAGATGTTTTTCACAAGTTTAATTAGAAGTTTTTTTAAGTGAAGTTTTCAAAATTGATTAAGATAATATAAGAAATTCGGATAAATTTGAAGTTTTTTTTTTTTTTGATCGTAGATTCGAATCAAATGTCAATTTCTCGAGAAAATGAATCATTGTGTCAGATCTATGCAATTCACTTTTATCTCGTCAAAACACATTTTTGTTGTTATGAATTTCAACTTGAACTTAAAATGAAATAAGAATTTTATTGAATAAATTATAAAAGAACAAAATTGTTGGAGTTTTTATTGTTCGGTTAACCCAATCCAACAAACTTCCAATATTTTTCAAGAGAAAACAGTTTCAAATAAAATAAAAAACTATCATTTTCGACTCAAAGATCTAAAACTAATAAATTGATTTGATTCTATGTGATGAAAAGTGAAAAACAAATGAATATTTTCTCGTGATGTTAACTTCATGAAGTTGTTTCATTCGGTTCTGATATTGTTTTTATTTATTGTAACTTCTAATCAAACAATAAAGCTTTCATCAGAAACATTGGAAATAATGAAGTTTTCCTCGTATTTAGCGTTAATTTATCACAATTTTGAGATTATTCACACGTGAAATTTCACATTTAATAACAAATCATAGAATTCGAGCTCTGAATATAACTCGTCGAGTCAAAAACATTTCGAAAGCATATCTGACACAGTCTAAAACTAGAGTAAACAGTACGAGTTTAAAAACTACAATTTTAAATTTGCAAATTAACGAAAAAATGACTAGCTTTTTCTCGCTTACGGTGTTAATACCTCACAAACTGAACAGTTTCCAGCTGTGAGATTTACTGTGTCTTTTCGTATGAAAAAAGTTTTTCTTTTCTATTACCAACTTAGGATCCAAATGGAAGAAAAACGAATTTTTTTTGCTGAAAATTAATAAAAGTAAAATCTTCTAGCAAAAGCGACGAATTTCAATGTTAGAAATTCTTGTACTGTTTTTCACATGAAGAAATTCAAATTCTGTCATCAAATTCAATTCTAAATTTAGAAATAAAAAATTTTTCTTGATTTTTCGATTCAAAATCGAATGTAATCAACAATTTTTCGTCAGTGAATATTTTTGATTCTGATTTAAATAAAAAATTATTGATTATATCATCCATCAAAGTGTCAGATTGATAAAATTCATTGTTTATTTGAATGGATATGAGTGTAAATGTGATTATGAAAGATTTCTCTTTATTAAAATCCTGAATAAAAAAAAGATTCTTCTAAATGCTTCAAAACCTATTAAAAGGATTTCGTTCCTTTAAAGATCCCTAACCAAACAAGTTGCTCGTATTAGAGGATCAGAAAAAAATGTAACATTTTGCGAAGACAATTTATGAGATCATGATGTTTTACACAGGGTGTGGATGAAAATACACATTCTAGAGATTCTAGGCTTTGTCGGGTATTAGTTTTTGCAGAGTTTAGCATTTTACTTATATTTGCGCGGCCCTGCAATATAAATTCTTTTTCTAGGATCTTTCTGTTCCAATGAATTTCGATCAATATTTTCTTTATAAGTTTCTCAGACATTTTCAACAGTTGGAATGTTCAATTTCTTATGTTAGTCACTATGTTATGTAGTATACAGAGGACAATCATAAGTTACATCTATTTAATATCTGACTTCTTCAAATAGTGATTCGATTTGAATTAATAATAATAATTAGATCAGATTTTAATTGAAAACGAGTGAGAATACTTAGGAACGAACGGCAGTACGGTTTTGAAATAGAATTCTATCGTGAATAGGTCATACTTAGTTCTCAAGTGAATTCTAACCTTTTCTGGCTCCATCACATAAACCTGGAGACTATTTTATGACATGGAAACAGCGAATTCAATCAAGATTCATTAAGACATATTACTAAAATTTTCAATTCTACTGTCTATTGTACAAAGAAAATACTCTTTTAGAGATCATTTACAATCAGAGAACTAGCCACTTATTCGAGTAAGTGTGTGGGTGTGGGTGGGTGCAGGTGTAGGTGTGGGTGCGGAGTGCGGGTGGGTGTGGGTGTGGGTGTGGGTGTAGGTGGGTGTGGGTGTGGGTTGTGGGGTGTGGGTGTGGGTTGTGGGGTGTGGGTGTGGGTTGTGGGGTGTGGGTGTGGGCAGAGGTGCAGAATCTACCCGTGTGCGCGCATGGCCGTGTGGAGAAATTTTTCGATTCATACGAGAGTTTTGGGGAAATAGCTGGGGGAAGACACTGTCGTGCGGGGAAATTTTTTAAAATCACGGCAGATTCTGCACCTCTGGGTGTGGGTGTGGGCGGGGTGTGGGTGTGGGCGGGGTGTGTGTGGGTGTGGGGTGTGGGTGGGTGTGGGGTGTGGGTGGGTGTGGGGTGTGGGTGGGTGTGGGTGTAGGTGGGGGTGGGTGTGTGTGATGTGGGTGTGGGTGTGGGGTGTGGGTGCGGGTGTGGGTGTGAACATGAGTGTGGCAGTCTTGTCTTCATTCAGACACCCACACACATTCACACCCACACCCACACCCACACCCACACCCACCCACACACCCCACACCCACCCACACATCCCACGCCCCGCACCCACCCATACAGTAACACTCTCAAATATGAATGATAAGAGTTTTAAAGTTTATCAAATAAATGAAGCGAAAAGAAAAACATTTCTGATGAAGAGTTTTGCACAAGTGTCTCGATTGTTTGTTTTCTAGTACACAAAATCATTTTTCAAATCAAAATATTGATGTTCATGCAAGTCAATTAAGATTCGTAGTGCATGATCTAAGTGTTGTTCTATTTTAAAACAACATTGTACCAATAGCAGTCAGTAGAATAATAAAAACAATAGAGAATATTGATGGAACTAACGATGTACCAAGAGCAGTAATCGTAACATCAACACATGATAACCACATAACACCCGGACCGACTTCATTGTTACGCCAGAAAAATTGAAATGTGCCCTGCTTAGTCGTCTTCGACGGAACAGTAATTGTAGCTTGAACTGTTTGGCCTAATATAAAACCTACAGCTGGAGCAGGACCTGTAGTTGCCGTTGTTGATACATTGACATAGATAAATGGAATGGGAGAAAACTTTGAATCGGCCTGTTCACCATCTCTATAACGGATTTGCCAGCCATCTGTAGGATAAATGTTTTGATTTTCCGTTAAGTGAATCTGGGAAATGAATATTTGAAATGTTTGCGATGAACCAGCCAGCCATGAAACGGCTGTTTTTCCATTGAAACCTGGGTCATAAGTAGTAGCATTTTGTGCAGCCGGAGCTAACAAATTGGTACCGTTACATGTTGTTTGAGTTGTTAGACTTTCCGTATCTAATGAACTATTCGCTAATAAACGCCAAACGGGTCCTTGGGGCCCTATTCCACCAGGTATGCATGTCGGATCTGAACAATAAACGACGCGAGGAATTGGATAGGAAAAATAAGCATGACCAGAAACACATGGTGCACGATAAGATAATAGGCCCACCGCGATAAGTACGTGAATATAAGACGACATCATTGTCGTTGCCTGTGAAGAAAAATATAAGATATGAGATAGGTTTTGTACGACGCATATCGTAAGTATTGGAATATGTATAACTTTTTCATCGTGGCACGACATTTGCGCGCGTGACATTTGCGCGCCGACACTTGCGCGCCCACATTTTCGCGCACGACACTTGCGCGCACAACTCTTCCGCACAGCGGCACTTTCGCGCAACGACATTTTCGCGCACGACACTTACTCGTGCGACACTTGCGCGCAAAATGATTTTTTTCTGCGCTTGACTTCGTTCTGGGTTGGATATGACTACGGATGTGGCTTAGGAAATAGATGCTGGCTGTGCGTGTGGGTGTGAGGGTTAAGTATTACCCTAGTCTCAATTCTGACCATTCAGTGAGAAATCCTGGACGAATCTTTCAGGATCCTGGACTTCAAGGATCTTGTCAGGTTTTCTTCAAGATCCCGCCGCAGTTCTTGATAATTCGTTTTTTCAGGGTTTCGCACGCGGTCAAGAAAAGTAAGCTCCAAGCTGCGTAGACTCCAAATTGCGTAAAGTCTAAATTTGGAGCTCATTTTCTTCTCAGTCTCTCTGCTATGGTTCATAGCACCACCTAGAATGCCAGTAGCATTTTCTGGGATGCTACTGGCATTTCCTCGAATACTAATAGCATCGCCTGAGATGCTAGAGCCATAACCTGTGATGCTGATAGCGTTCCCTGGGATGCTAGTGGCATTCAGTGGGATGCTTGAAGCATTCCCTGGAATTCCAGTAGCATTCCCTGGGTTGCTGTTAGCATTTCCTGGGCTGTTAGAAGCATTCGCTTTAATGCTAGTAGCATTCCCTGTGATGCTGGTAGCATTCCCTGAGGTGCTAGTAGCATTCTCTGTGATGCTAGAAGCCTTCTCCTTCATGCTAGAAGCATTTCATAGGTTGCTAAAGGCATTCTCTATGATGCTAGAAGCATTTCCTGGGACGCTAGAGTCATTACCGGGGACCCTAGAAGCATCTTCTTGGATGCCAGAGGCATTACCTACGACACTAGTAGCGTTTTGTGTCGGGCTCATAGCATCCCAGGCAATGCCTGTAGCATCTCAGGTGGTGCCCATAGCAGCCGAGAGAATTGATATTAGCATCCTAGGCAATGTTAGTGGGATCCCTGGAAATGCCTCTGGCATCCAACGTAATGCTACCAGTACTCTTGGTGGTGCTATAAATCATAACAGAAGGATTGAGAAGAAAGTTGAGCTCCAAATTTGGAGTTTACATGCGGAGCTCACTTTTCTTGGCCTTCGCACGTTTAGGCAGGGACCTATTTATGATCTATCCAGGTTTCTATCAAGATATTTTTCGAAATCATGAATGCAGGATCCTACAAGGATTCAAGCTTAATCCTGCGGAGTATCTTTACAGGAATAATAGAGATGATTCTTTCAAGATTTCATGCACTTCGGATGGAATCTGTTCAGAATTCTGATTGGATCCTGCTAGGAATCCTACCAGAATCTTGAAATTCTGTGGCTATACGCTTCTTTCAGAATTTAGTTGTTTCCTCAGGAAAAAAACAGCGAATTGTTGAAGGATCCTGATTGGATTCGTTACGGATCAGACATAGAAACATCAAATATTTTCCCTAGGGTAGTGAAGATGCATGAAGGATTGTCTGGAACTGCTGCTCTCCCATCGCAGTGACACCCACCTCCCGCCATCATCACACTCAAACTCAAACGAAGACTCG